ATCTGATAGTAGTATTAGCTATCCCATAATTTACTCTTCTATTGAAGGGCATATAATGTATGACTTTCTTGAAGGGACCTTGTAGATACTTCAGAGTGTATTTTAAAATGTGATTTACTTTATGCTGATTGATCCCTGGAGGTTTTTAAGAAGACACTGGACAATCACTTGTCGGGAATGGTATAGAATCTCCTGCTCGAGCAGAGGGTTGGACTAGAAGACCTCCAACGTCCCTTCCACCTCAGTTATTCTGCTATCTGCTGAATTTCAGTTGCATTCTGGTTCAAGTATACATTTTAGTTAAGGAGATGCCAATGGGATGCTTCATAATGCCTTCTCAGCAGCTCTAACTCAAATGTGAATTTTCTAAGGTTAGGCAGCTGCTATCTGCATCTAAGAAAGAATTGCATAAAGAGGTGTCAACAGGCACCTTATGATGTCAGATCCAAAGTAATGTGCACCCCTGCTTGAAAGGATCTGGTTGGCTGAGGGAAGGTGATCATCTTGGTTGTGTGCTAATTTGGGGCGATGGGTGGGGGGGGAGGAATCAAGAAAAACAAGTTTGACACTCAGAAGTGATGGGTAAGGAGCAGGATAGAGATTGAGCCATTCAAAACAAGAGAGAGTGTGTTTTGAAAAATCCCTTTCCTAAATTCTAGTAGGATTTCCCATGTGTATAGCATTTTCTTTAATTTGCAGTGATTTTCCTATGAAGCTTAGTGTTAAAGGTGGTTTGTATCCCATATTTACTGTTAGATCCTGCATTGAAGACTATGGCCATATGCCAAAGGTTCCATGTCCTTGTGGAAGAGATTTTCAGGTCATTTCCAATATCTCAAGAATATTAGATGGATAGATGCCAATTTATGAGAACAATGTTGCTACCCATTTGCATGCATCTCCTGGTAAAGTCTGAATTTGGTGTAATTCCAGACAGCCTCAGGATTTGGATTGGTTTAAAGTAATTAAAACTGTTTTTAACCAAATGATAATTAAACTCTTGATGGGTTTCTATGTATGCTTGCCAGTTTCAGCAGTCATAGGCTACATGTGCTAATGGGCTAAATCAAAATTGTGAGTTCCCCATAGTACATTGCTTTTCACTGATGTCAATGATGTCAACCTATTCCACAGATCAGTTACTGCATATCTATAGATAATTGATGTTTATGTTGATATAGATACAGATATAGACATAGACAGACAGACAGACCTGCATATGGATTAGAGAACAAATGAAAGTATACAATATCATCAAGAGAGTAAAAGAATGGAAATGGAAATTGACTGGCCCATTTCAGGTGGACTAAGGATTAATTGCTTTATTTATTTATTTATTTGTATGCCGCCCTTTTCCCTGGGGGGAACTCAGGGCGGCTCACAATTCAGGGGGAGGGAGGACAAACACGTTACAAACATAAAAAACAATACATCATTAAAAAACGCAACAATCATACTATTCGAGTGGGGTTGAGATCTCTAGCCCCAGGCCTGTCGGAACAGCCAGGTTTTAAGGGCT